ATTTATAAATAATTCATGTAACATTAAATTTGAATTCTATGTAAACATTTCTTTGTATAAATATGAATTTATCATTTTGTTCAAATCTTAGTTTACATTTAATAAAAAAAAAAATTTTTTTTGGCTACAAATATGAAAAATTCTATATTTTTATAATTTTATTTATACAATAATACATGCCAAATCGGAACAACCCTCGACCCGTGACCCACCACCCGCATAGGCTCAACCCGAATGGGTCAACGGGCGGGCCGTTACCGGGCTCATATGTTGGCGGGCCGATTCGACCCGGACCACCGGATTACACCTCTATAAGCAGGTAATCTCCACCCTGTTCGAGGTGATGCCCCACGAGTATCAGGTTTGTCGAGTTTTTTTACCATCCCTAATTCCATAAGTGTGAGAAAATAGATTACTATAATTATAGGATAAATAGTAATTTTTTATGTTCTCCATTATTTTTTAGTCAATAAAACCTCTTAATTCTTCTGTCATATTTCTTATTTTTATTATTCTTTTACTTGATTTAATAATTCATTATTTGTTATATAATTTCAACATCTTAATCCGGTGATTGGTTTCACAACAAGTGGTATCAGAGCACCAGGTTCGGCAATTCCGCAAGAGTGCATGGTTTGATTTGTTCGAGGTTTTTGTTCGTGATGACTTCCATGAAATATGACGTTCATCTTTTGGATCGGAGCACTAGATTTTTGCTATGGCAGGTTAAGATGCGTGCAGTACTTGTACAATTGGATTTGGATGATGCATTGATGGAAATTGACAAGATATCCGCAACTTGGACCACCGATGAGAAATTACGGAAGGAAAATAAGGCAATATCTCACATTCATCTTCATCTATCAAATACTATTTTTCAGGACGTTTTGAAGGAGGTTTCAATATCTGCTCTATGGTTGAAGTTAGAACAATCGTTCATGACTAAAAGTCTAACAAGCAAGTTGAACCTCAAGCAATGTTTATACTCTTATCGAATGGCAGAAGGTATATCATTTGAAGATCACATGCCTGTATTTAAAGAGATCGTCGCTGATTTTAAAACTTTGGAAATAGAGTATAATGAAGAAAATTTGACCTTAATCCTATTGTGTTTGTTGCCCGTTTCCTTTTCTTCATTTAGAGACACGATCTTTTATAGTCGTGATAGTCTCACCATAGAGAAGGTGTATGATACTTTATATTCAAAAGAGAAGATGAAACATTTGGCTTCTGAGGCTAGAGATGGAAAATGTCTGGTTACTCATGGTGATTCTGGAATGGGCAGATTGAAGTCTAAGTTTAGTAATCAAATTTGTAACTATTGCAAGAAGAATAAGCATATGAAGAAAGATTGCTACAAATTGCAGAATAAATAAAGGTTGGCTACAAGTCGATATGGAAAGAAATTAGATACTTCAGGCGAAGCAGACCTCGTGGAGAACATTGA